TAGAGGCTTAAGCCTATTAGGAATAAAGATAGTAAACCTTTTACTATTCAGATTGTGATTAGGATCCGCTTTAATTAATATGGACCCTTATCCCTAAAGCAAGTCCCTGAGTCCTATAAGGAATAGAATTAGTAAACCCATACCATTCAGGCCCTAATTAGGAGTCTTAAATATATAAATAGGGAACTTAGGAGACACCTAGAACTTCCCACACGCCTAAACGCCCCATCGCCCCAGGAGAGCTCCAAGAATTCCCTTAGAAGAAATCAAGAAAGCAAGAAAGCTTAAAGAAAGATCCTTCATAGCCAAGGAATTAATTAAGGCTAAGAGGTAACCCATGTCTCAACAAAACCTATTTTCATAGCTATGATTTCCCCTTAGGGTTTCCCCCATATTGTTGTAAATGGCGATTGATGATGATTATTATTGATGTCGATATAATGATTCCATGAGGAATCTTGATAAACTTGATATTGGGAGTTTCTTGATAATTATGATGTTCTTGATGATTAATTGGGGTTTTGATGATTATGTGTTGTTCTTGATGATTATGATGTTTTTGATGATTAATTGGTATCTTTGATGATTATGTGTTGTTCCTACCGAATCTTGCAATTAGAAGACGAATTGTATTCTTGTTGATATAAAAGTGATTAGAACCCTAGGTTGTATCGTATGATATTATTCTTGGATTATCGGGTGGGGAAATCGCATGTTTGGGTGTTGATTATGTTTAGAAAAGCATGATAGGTTAGGTGCCGTTCGTTCCTCGTATTTGATCCGTTAATTGTCTACGTGTTGTTGTTAATTGCGTTGTAAAGTGTCTAAGCATGGTTTCGGGTTCCACAACGGTTCCCGGGGCGAAAAGTGATGAAAAGAGTCAGTGGGGGGTAGGTGGGGGTAGGGGACCCGCCACCTACCCGTGGCAACTCCGGGCAGTTCCGGCAGCGGGCAGCCGGCGGGCGGGCAGCTGCCCGCCGGGCACCCGCTGCCCGGAACAGTGATGGCCGGCGGGTGGACCCCCACCCACCGGCTACCCGCTGGAATTTTCCCCCCCTCGGGACCCCGGCTTCCCCGTTTGATGTTTCCCCGATCCCTGTGGTGTCCCAACGGACCCCGTTTGTCGTGCCTATGTCTAGTTTGATATTTCGGGTACCGTTCGTAGGTTTATGAGTCTATTATATTGCATGCTAGTTGAATTGGTGTCCCGTTGACCTAGGTGGAAGAAGTATGAACCCCTTAGGACTATTCTTAGTACGTGATGGATCACGCATAAGGTTGTTATACGCTTTGTCCCCCTTCCCAATGTGTAATGTGGGTTGCATGTGCTTGCTATGTGTTATGTGTGCGTGTTGCCCCAATTCGGTTGCGATCGGATTGGTTATCCTGAGCTGCGGTTCAGAAGCCGGCTACAGTCAGATGGGAATTCCTGGCTGCAGTCGGATGACGGTATCCTGGGCTGCGGTCCAGAAGCTGGTTGTAGTCAGATGGGAATTCCTGGCTGCAATCAGGTGACATCTTTCCTGAGCTGCGGTTCAGAGGCTGGCTGTAGTCAGATGGGAATTCCTGGCTACAGTCAGATGACACACTCTCTTGGGCTACGGTCCACTGTTTGGTTGCGATCAAACATTATGATGAGCTGCGGTTCATCGGTCGGTTGCGATCGACCTCCCCGTGTTGCGATACGGGGCATGGTGCTGTGGGGCCGTGTCAGAGCTATATGCGCTGACCCGCATGTATGGGCATGCGAGTGGTCCTGTGGCGCAACAACGTGCGTTATGTGTTGTGACATGGACGAGTTGTGATTATGAGTGTCTTGGGGGATGTGACTATGGGATTTATATTGGGGATTGTTCATGTTGGGTTATGATCATTGTTTATGCTCTGCCTTATCTGCCTTATCTGTTGTGAACTGCATATGCTCGTTATAACTGTTGCTTGTGTCTGACCGGTTTTAAAGCTAGAGTTCGTAGGATGTATTCTCATGCTCAAAATGGTTTTGTATATCTATATATATATTGCTCTATGTATTGTATTTCAACGCGTTGGAGTGGGTTACCAGCATCTCTCGCTGAACAGATATATTTGGCTTTCAGGCACAGAGGATTAGAGCACTGGAGCGCGCTAGAACTGGAGCGTAGAAGTAGTATAGTTTCCCTTTCGGCCTGCGTGCCATGTTATGCATTTATATTTCGAAGGATAGTAGTTAGACAGCCTGTGCACCTGGGTTCTCCAGCCCAAGTGTGGCATAGCACCCCGTACACTTATGTTAGGTTTTGGGATTTAATGAGATGTCACCTTTATTATTAAGTTTTAAATGCCTTGAAAATCAGGGGTGTTACATAAATTATGCCCAACTCCCGTTGTGACACAAAGAAAGCTATGAAACAAGTAATTACGGCCATTTAACTACTAGCAACAACAATATAAAACACAATTGCAACACAAGTTATAGCCCAAATAATAATATATTAAAGAATCTGAGAGCTTAGGCACATAGGTTCATAAACACTTTTACCCAAGAATCTCTAATGGAATTTAGCTCAGCATGGCTAAATTATACATAGCAAATATATAAAAGAAGTTACAAATCATCAAAGAGAGTTACAAGAATGAACTCGGTGATTTTCCCAAATCTCCCTAGTCTTTTTCTTGATTCTCAAGACAACTTGTGACTCTTGATTTATCTTCTTGTCTCCAAAGATCTCTGAATGAATATTAGGGTTGGGGAAGGGGGAATTTTATAGTAGGAATCAATCCCGGAGGAAATAGGAATTTTCCACACAAAACTGGGCCGAAATCGCGCCTGGGCCACCATTTTCGATGCGTCAAGTCAAAATCCTTAAATTTCAAAATGCACACTGGAAATTTTCGACGCGTCGAGAATTTCCAGTGTCATAGGCCCGTCTTGTAGGCTAATTTTGACCATTTTTCCCTTCAGATCTGGACTTCGATGTCTTTAGAAGAGTTGTAGCCCTTCGAGTCTTCTTTCCAATGGCGCAAGAATCACTTCATTTGGATATTCCTAGGCTGCGAGAATCACTTCATTTGGATATTCCTAGGCTGCGAGAATTTTCACTTATTGCTCTTTTGCTCCACTTTTGCCTCGATTTGCCTAAGTGATCAAGACCATTGAAAACACCACTCTTTGGCTCCATTTTGAAGTATTTAAGCCACCTCCTTAGCCTCACATTGACTTTGTTTTTGCTCCAAACTCGTCCTAGAACTTCCCTTGCTTTTGCAATTGATATATAATGGTTCCAAAACACTAACAAACACCGTAAAACATTCAAAACAAGTGTGAACCATGACTAAATAATAAAATAAAGGATTATGCAATTAAATTACCATGACTTCGAACTTAAGCCTATCAAATATAATCAAATCAATACTAGAAATATGCACAATTTGGCTCACATCAAATCCCCCACACTTAAGCCTTTGCTTGTCCTCAAGCAAAACCAAGAAATAAATCACAAGTCAAGCATATAAATTACTCCTACTCTCTCTTGCACAACCTTTCAAACCACCAACTAACTTGCTACAAAACAACAAGCTTCAAGAATCAAATTAGTTTGGCACATAAGACCCATTCTCAAGCCAATAACCAAGCACCAAGAATTTAAAGTATGTGAGAATCAAGTGTGCACAAATACTCAGTTGAGATTATGCAAAACACAGCTCATGAATGAGATCTCATAGGCTTGCCCTTCATACTCCTCTAGTTTAGATCTAAGAATGCATGCTAAGATCAAATAGGACTTTATTTAGCTTGTAATGGGGCTACCGGTGATGGCTGACAAAGAAGTGGTATGAAAAAAATAACAAAGAGAGAAAATGTCACAATTATCAATATTTTCAAAACTTTAGAAGAGATGAGATACTTTAGAAGAGATGAGATAATCACAATTTCAAGGAGCAAATTTCTTTTAAGAACAAAGCAACTCTTTGGTAAAGTGGGGGTCCAAAATCAACAACTTTCAATCTTTCTTTCTTTCATTATTTTCTTCTCTTTTCTATTTTTTTTTTCTTTTCTTTGATTCTTTTCTTTGGATTTATTTTGGATTCAGCAAGATAATTTTAATCCAATCAATCAATCAAGACCCCCACACTTGAACATTTGTATCATAAGTTGCTTTTTGGCACACCTCCATAGAACTCTTCTACAAGAATATTAATGATAAAAGTTCCATTCTTTCAAGGGTGGAAGGGAAAATATTTGGCCAAAAACTAAGGGTTTAATAATGGGGGTAACACAAAGAAAAATAATCACAATGAGGGGATAAGTGCTTAGCACTTATTTAAACAAACGAAAGGCATAATGGGGACACAAAGGATAAAAACATATGTAGGGACAGGTTTAAAGGCTATGACTAAACAAAAATGGCCTAAATCACTTCAAAGCATGCAAAACTTAGACATCACTTAGGGGGTAATGAGGCAAGTTCTAGCAAAACACCTATGACCGAAATCTCACATAAGCGTTCACTAGCAATGCATAACACACAAGATCAATAATTAATCCAATTATTAAGTGGTTAACAAAGCTATTGGCAAGAAAATAGATCAATTATATGTTACACCTCAAATCATCAATCACAAATTGAATTGTAACAAGCACCACTAAAACAAACCACAAACCAACATGAGAAAGTAATTGCAACTGCATGCTAAGACAAGTAACTTATTCAACAAAAATACCTCATGATTCATCCAAGCAAAAGCAAAAAATTTTAAAATTATCTCCAAATTATTTACTCTTCCATCACACTTAAAACTTTGCATCTTCCCTGATGCAAAACAAAAAGAAAAGGAGAACAAGAGAAGCAAGAAAGCTAGAAAGCAATAAATTAAAACGAAATAGAAAACAATAAAACTAAATAAGACGAAACTATAAAGCAATAAATAAATAGAGAAAACAATAAAAGATAAAATGGGGTGCCTCCCATGAAGCGCTAAGTTTAACGTCGTTAGCTCGACGTAACCTGGTTATAGAGTGCTCAATCAGGTAGATCATCGATAGTGAATCCATGCCCAAAAAAGTTTTTCCACATTTCATGCTCCAATACCATGTCAAGGGGCTTGCTATTAACCATAGAGCAATCTTCAACACCAGTGGACTTTGGCTCATTAATGACATTGAATTCTACATTTTCCTCTCCAAAGTCAAAAATCATTGTTCCCTTCCTTGCATCAATTAGTGCTCTAGTTGTAGCCAGGAAAGGTCTCCCCAAGATGATGGGAGTATCGGGATTTTCTGGGGCATCTATCAGAATGAAATCACATGGCACAAAATATTTGTCCACGCGAACTGGGACATCTTCAAGAATTCCAATTGGGCGAGTTGTAGATTGATCAACAAATTGCAATGTAAGTTTGATAGGTTTAGGCTCTTCCAAATTCAACTTCTTACACAGTGATAGCGGTATAACATTAGCACTAGCTCCAAGATCAGAAAGGGACCTTTTTATCATACGGCCTCCAATAAAACATGGGATTGTGAATCTGCCCAGATCTATATGCTTCAATATACTCCTACATTCACTACATGCCAAGTCCATATACTCTTGTGCCATAGCGACCATCTCATGATCAGCAAATTTCTTTTTCTTAGCTAGAATGTCCCTCAAAAATTTTCCATAAGATGGAACTTGTGAAAGCAAATCAAGTAAGGAAACTGAAACTTTCAAACTCTCAACAATCTCCAGAAACTTTTTCCACCAAATCTCTTTTGCTTTTTCAAATTTTTGAGGAAATGGCAATGGTGGTACATACCTTCTCACAGGCTTCTCTACTTCTTTTTTATCTTGTAGATTATTCTTCACAACAGCTGGCTCAACTTCTTCCTTCTCAAGTATCTTTTTCTATCTCATCTTCAACAGTTCTATTTGGAATTGATGTCTTGATTGGAAGAGGTGGTTCTTCAAGTACCTTGCCTCTCCTAGTAACAATTGCATTGACATGCTCCCTTGGATTCTTAGTACTGGCTGGCAACTTCCTGTAACTTTGGTGCTAGATGTAGAAGCTTGATTTGCAAGTTGATTTTCAAGCATCTTGTTATGGGCACTCAATTGTTCCAACCTCTCACTCATTTGTTTGATCCTTTCATCACTTTGCATTTGGAATTTTAATAGCATGCCCATCATGGCCTCCACATTTGATTGTGGTGGAGCCTCCAAGGCGGGTAATTGAGATTGAACTTGAGTACCTTGAAATCCCTGAGGACCTCTATTAACAAAGTGTTGAGGATTGGTAGCCCCCATTGGATTACTCCATGAAAGTCCTGGGTGGTTTCTTGAATTATTAGGATTGTAGGCCCCTTGAGGTTGGAAAGATTGTTGATGAGGCCTATTATATCCCACCAAATTAATTTGCTCCATAAGGGTTTGTGAATTTGAATCATTGAGACATTCCCCCAAATTATGTCCACCACCACACAAATCACACATCAAAACTTGGCCCAAAGGAGAAGGAGATGTAGGAACATGACTCACAATGTGTTTTTGGAGGGTGATTTGGGCAAGCTTTTGAACCATGGAAACCACATTATCCATCTTGGTTGACAAAGCGGAAAATTGCTTCGCCTCATGAATTCCTCCCACAAGCTTTAGTGAAGGCATTTCCGAGTACCAAGTAGACCCATTCATAGCAATTTTTTCCAATAATTCCTCGGCTTGTGTTGGCTCCAAGACTGTGAATGAACCAACCGAAGAAGCATCCACCAAGATCTTAGAATTATCAAGCAATCCTTCATAAAAAGCCATCATCAAATCCCAGCTTTGAAACCCATGGTGTAGACAGTGCCTCTTCAACTCCTTAAACCTCTCTCAAGACTCAGTAAGGGACTCAGTTGCCGGTTGTTTAAAGTTTTGAATTGCCCTTCTCATCCTTTGAGTCTTGGAGATTAGATAAAACTTCTTCAAAAATTCTCCATGCAATTTTGCCCAAGTGTCAAAATGGTTATCTGGGTGTGAGGATAACCAATCATCAGCCTTGTCCTTTAGTGAGAAAGGGAAAAGTCTTAGCCTAATAGCTTCTTGCGTGACCCCATTCATCTTGAAGGTGCCACAAATTCGTAGGAACTTTGTGACATGAGCATTAGGATCCTCCGTGGGTGACCCTCCAAATGAATCTGAAGCTACCATATTGAGTATGGCCGGCTTGATTTCAAAGTTGTTGGCCTCCACATTAGGAATATTGATGCTACCATGCTCCTCAACATCCGGAGCAAGGTAGTCAGACATTGATCTTTCTTCAGCTTGGTTTCCTTGTACATGTGCCATCCTTCTCTGTTTTCTAAGTAATCTGGCTAGCTTTTCGATCTCAGGGTTTAAAGGCAATAATCCTTCACTTCCTATAGATCGCGTGCGCATAAAAACCAAGTACTTAGATTTCAAGAAAAAATCACACTCAACAAGAACAACTCGTTATCGGTTAGCAAAATAAAATTAAATTAAATTAAATAAAAAATAGACTAGACTCCTAGAATAAAAATTTCACTAATGTTAATACTAAAACGCCACTTCCACGGCAACGACGCCAATTTGATTTTAGTATGTTTGACACACCCGTGTGTGGTTGTAGACTGAGGGAATAGGAATAGGAATATGGATATAGGGTAAAACGGGGAGTCGAAACCACCTCGAGTATCGTTCGCTTAAGGATAACAACTTGGAGATCGTGAAGGTTAGTGGATTGACTACCTAAACGCTTAGACAAGAGATTTCTATCGAACAATTTTGAAGTAAGGTTTTGATAATGCACTTGCATACAACGGTAAATGCTAGAAAGACTTAAAGGAAATTGTGAAAGTCAAAAAGATAGATGGAGGTTCGTGGGTGTGCTTGTGGTGCAATGGCGTTAGTTTAAGGTAGTGGGATTTAATGAAGTGACATGGAGTTGTAGTTGGACTCTACGATGCAACCGACTAGGGATGGTGGACAAGAAGAGTTGTGCAAACCAAGGAGTCGAGTTGGGAGCTCGTGCTAAGGACTCACAAAGGCCTTAAAGTCAAGCGCTAAGGATGGACCAGGCTTCCTTCAACTGTGAACATCGCTCGAGTAATCAACGGGCTCCTTACAAGTCGTGTAAAATCTAGAATGTCGTTGTTTGTGGTGCTAAGGAAAGAGTAAAAAGTACATTGGTGCCAAGGCCTCAAGGGTTTTTAAGGACAACAAGGAAATAAGATGACTCGTAAAGTCACCGAGTCATTCCGCAACAAGATTAGGTAAACAACTGCACTTCAAGAAGAAGAGGAGCATGCAAAGGCACCTTCACTATTAAAAGTAACACAAAAGGTACAACAAGCCGAACTCCAGGGAGGACATGAAGTCTTGATAAGAATTTCATTCACTAAAGAAGAGATGAAATTCAATAAGGAGAGAAAGCCAACCCGAAGTCTATTGACTCCCAAGAGACTTTGGGAAGAATTTGGAAGTGCGCCCTAGAAGATTGGCTTTGTTGACCAAACTCGGTCAAAACCTTGGGTGCATTAGAGAAGTATGTGTTGAATCATCGCGAGAGATTCCCTCAAGATAGAAAAGAAGGATAAGAATTTAGCTTGGGAAGCAAGGGCTGACAAAGATCTTAAAGTCAAACAGTGAACACCAAAGAAAAAGGATCATCAGTTTGTCAATACGTCGTGGTCAAAGCATCGAACCGGAGTAGTCACTTGAGATCAAGAACCCTTAACCCATCCGAGCCGAATTCCTTTCCTTCCCTTTGACAATCGAACCCCGTCTTATTGCACAACCCTTTCTACCCTTCAAACCTCATTCTTGATTCCCCATTTTAACGATTCCATATAAGGTAGCAACCTCACTTCCTAAGTTGCAACTTTGAAAACTTTGATCCTAATTCCTAAATTCACTTTGTCCTCAAGTTTGAGAACCGAACCGTTCACTCTCTTTATCTTTTTAACCCAATCATTCCCAAAAACCCTGTATACATAGATATATAATTATATTTTTTTTCCCTGTAAAATACTTTCTCTCTACGACCACCGTACTAGTTTTGACTCGTTATCCGTGTAATGATTCCTAAGCTTCGGGGACGAAGCTTCTTGTAAGGGGGGAGGGTGTAACACCCCGTGTTACGGCCTTCAATCCCGGATTAATTATATAATTAATTTCGTTAAATAATAATTAAAAAGGATTTAATTTGGTTAGGATTCCCTTTAATTAATTAATATGGTCCACCATGGATCGTGGACCCTTGCCTAAACTAGAGTCTTAAGCCTATTAGGAATAAAGAGAGTAAACCTTTTACTAGTCAAATCCTAATTAGGAATCCTAGACCTATATATCTATTAGGAATAAAGAAAGTAGGCTTTTACTATTCAGATTATGATTAGGATTCCTGATTTTATAAATAGGGGATTAGAAAGCAATTAGAACCCTTACCACCCATAGTTATATTACACGAAATTATTCCCAAGAGGTTCCCCACCACCAGGCCTAGGGAGATCAATCGGATGGAAATCTTAGGGAAGAACCTTAATAGCCAATGGAGGATTAATTAAGGTTAAGAGGTAACCCATGTCTCAACAAAACCTGTTTTCCTTGCTATAATCTTCTTCTTTAGCTCCTTTGATATGCAATTCCATGTTTGTGTCTTGATAAGGCTTTTATGATGATTATGAGATAATCTTGATGTTGATGAGATGATATTGATAATCTTGATGTTTATGAGGTGATCTCGATATTTATGTGTTGATATTGATAATCTTGATGTTCTTGATTTTAATATAACTAGAGCCCTAGGGTTAAATCGTTGACTTCGTATTGTGATATTCCTAGTATGTTTGGGCGGGATTTTGCATGTTCAGGTATTGAGTCTTGATTATGTTTAGAAGTCGTGTTGGGATATGTTTAATGTGATTCTTGATTTTAATCCATTACTTGATTACGTGGTGTCGTTGTTTGTGTTTAAATGTGTCTGGACATGGTTTCGGGTTCCACGAAAGATCCCAGGACCGAATTATTACATAAGAGTCAGTGGGGGGTAGGTGGGGGCAGGGGTACCCGCCACCTACCCGCTGCCCCAATAGGCCGCCCGGCAACGGGCAGGCGACTGCTCGTCGGGCACCCGTTGCCTTGTGTTGCGCCGCCGGCGGGTGGTCCTCCACCCGCTGGAAATTCCAATGTGGAATATTCCCCGTTTGATGTTTCTCCGTGTCCCGTGGTGTCCCATTAGACCCCGTTTGTCGTGCCTGAGTCTAGTTTGATGTTTCGGGTACCGTTCGTAGGATAAAAGAGTCTTGTGTATTGCATGCTAGTCGAATTGGTATCCCGTTGGCCTAGGTGAAAGATGTATGAACCCCTTAGGAATATCTCTAGTAATGTGGTGGACCACGCATAAGTTTTATATATATGTTTTCCCCCTCCCTATGTGTTAATGTGGGTTGCATGTGCTTGGCTATGTGTTATGTGTGCATGATACCCCAATTGGTTACGATGAATTGGCTATACAGGCAGTTGTATGGGTTGAGAACCATCGGCTGTTAACCAGGCCGGTTGCGATCGGTCAGGTAAATAAATATATATAGGGCTGCGGTCCATAATCTGGTTGCGATCAG